TGCAAACACCAAAACTTGGAATTCCATAACGAACATAAACCGGGATCAAATTAAAAAATATGAGAGGTGAAAGTTTCCAGTACAGGCCCAAGAGTACAGTTGGCTCGTTGTCGTTCAATTAGCAGACGGTAGGCGGTACTGTATAGAGTTTGTCAGTTTGTAGCCTTTAACTCCAGCCTCCAGCTCCCACCTTTCAGCCGAGACGTGCAAGCCTGTCAATTATAAGTTTGTAAGCTCCTCGAATACGCTCCTGCTCTCTCGTGGGTGCCATAATAGTTGTTTGCGTAGGTTGTGCCACGAACTTTAGGCTTGTTAGGGCTTGTATGTATCCTGTGTATGTTTTGGTATTTTCGAATTTCTGTATTTTGTAAAAGGCTTTGTAGTTTTTTAGATAAAGCGGGAAATAGAAGTGGCTCAGTACATAGTTATATTACTTGTTAGATACTTCCATGGAGCCAGTGGATGCAGGTGGCGATTTGTCGTACAACGTGGAGGACCACAGGAAGGCCTTTGTTCAGTAGTGGACCTCTTCAGGCTGATGATGATGACCATGATGATCACTAGTTAATAAGGTCAATCACACAGGTGTCTTAAACTGGAAAATAGATACTACGGTAGTGAAAATCTCAGTAGAAAAGAAGTATTTCTTTCCTTAAACGATTACGCATGCTGCTTTCGCAATACCAATACGAGTTGATTCGATTTAAAAATAGAAATACTACGAACACTGCACCGTAGTGAATCAAATACATCGTAAATATATGATACATCGATATTTACTCAATAAATCGATACTGTCCAATAAACTTATCATATACAAACAAATCGGTGAGAATGCAAGTATTATATTTCTTAGGGGCAGACTACACGTAGTGTTTGTTATCAACTGATTTGAGAGTTACGTCATAATATGTTACGTATTATGTATGAGTATTTGTTGTCTTGTCATTTGTTTGTCATATTGTATGATATGTTTCAAATAAATAGTACTCATTATGTACTATCAAACTACTTTCTGCATAGATAGAGCTGTTAATTTGGACTATTATTTTGCGATTGAACCTTTTATAAAATCTAAATCTTTTGTAAAAAACAATAAGTTACATTGTCATCACAACATTAGATTAATAAGTTTCTAAGCTACTAGTCCCCACTAAACCTGAGCGTATGCTCCCTGCCTAACTGACTCACGTTTGGCTGACTGCCAGTTTATGTTCCAACAAAATCTCTGCTAAGCGTGTATCCGAACATTAAACAAATTATAGGGTACTGGCCGTTAATGCTAAATTTTCTGCGAATAAAGATGTTCAGGCGTCAAAGCTAGCGCTAGTGTAACAACGGCACTATGCTTCGACGCTAGTTAATGACTTCTGGTATTAGGAAGTCGTTTGTTCAAGAAACGGCATTCTGAAATTTTCTGCATATTAGTTTTATGTGTCATAAGATTGTCTTGAGATATTCTCCACACAGTAAAACGAAAATAACTTATTTTTGCGGATCAATTTTGTATGAAATACCAAAGCAAGAGTTATGACATTACCTTTTTCGTTGTAATATGTTCCTATGTACAGAATTCCAATATACTTCATCTCCGGTTGCCATTCGTTCGGTGTGGCGCGGGCGTGTAAATTCAATTGTAAGAATTAGGAGCTCAGACGTTCTGTGCCAGCATGAGGCCCGGAAAAGGAAAATATACAACATTTTTGATACAAGATACGGGAGATAGTAAGGATAAACACGGATATACTCTGATTTGTAGCACTGCAAGTTTCCCTCTGGTGATTTTTAGTTTATTGCGAAGTATAATAGTTTTAGAAATTCTATCTAAGATTCTAATCTAAACTGCATTTGGTAGATTGAGTTCATAGTAAGGTTCGCAACGTCGCATACATGGTTAAAAATGAAGTCATTTGTTCACATTTTTTCTTATAATAATAAATACTACAAGATGACATCTTACGATTATGTTAGGCAAATTCTAGTTCCATTTTCGCTTTAGTACTAACCAACTAACTAGGATACAATCGTACTAAATTCCTGTATATGGCCCACGTCTTGACAATAATTGCTGTGCCCGGCGCGACAGCACAGCAATAAAGGACACCAATCAAACGTTCAGCAGATAATCGCAGACCAACAGACTCGGTGTAATTGTATAATAACACGCTATAATTGTAAAGAGACTGGTTAGATGGAGCCACTTGTATCATGAGGAAAACTATGTCATAGATGGGTATTTAGAATTTAAATGCAGAAACAAATAAGACTGACAGATTAATTTTGGATTTTGTGTTATTAGGTAATTACTAGTCATAGTGTAAAGTTTAGATGATGTTGGTGGATGGGAAGCTGCTGAATGCAGGTCCAGGGCGCTTCCAAACGGCTGATTTGGAAGTAATAAACGTCTTGTAGTTTATATGACGACAATGATAAAGATATATAGCGCAACGACTGGGTGATGGTCCTTAAATGTTGAACAAACATTGTTTTGTATGATCTTCATTTAGTTCAGAGAAGCATTTCATCAACAGTTATTTTACTGTTTCTCTCAAAACCTTAATTTTCAGATGACGTCATTTATGCTAACTAATACGTTTGGCTTACCACCACTATGCAACTAACAGCGTCATTAAACGACGACGTGGCCGGTACAAGGGATGGCCGTAATTCATTTAAGCTGGCAAGCTAACGCACGCCTAGATAATTTAGTTATCGCTGGAGATTGGAACCGTGTTCCATTACGTACGTAATATCATCTCCATTAGGGATAAATACCGGCTGTGAACTGTCGACCTTAGAGGGTTTGTGGCTGGATTAGAGGCTGGATTGAATTATAGTCTGTGTCTAGATATAAGTGTCATACTAACAGCATAAGATGAGACAGGGGCTTTTAACAAGCAAGCAAAGGAATTACTAGGGTTATTCAGTAATTTAGTACATTCAATTTACCTAAAATAGTTTGCATGGATGCAGGTGCAGGTCGTTTTCAATCGGCCGTTTTGGAAGTTATTGGGAGAAACCTATGTTTAGCACTGAACTTCTTATGACTGATTTGATAAAAGTAGACTAGCTGTTATCATACTTACACCGAAAATATAAAAATATTTCAAGTAGTCGCAGTAGTATTTACAAAATTAAAGTAAATATTTGTACTACAGTTCCAATACTTCCAATGAACGTACAAAATAGTGAACAATGAGTTCCCACGTTGTGCGCAGTCGCACCACGCCATCACCATTGTATCGCTCAGGCCTCCTTATCCTTATGCAATTTACGCAAGCAGCTGGAAGGTCGAAGATGATTCCACTTGCATTACTCATTGCATCTAAAGATACCTAAATAATACAGCTCAATGTTCCTTCAGGATTTACACCAAAAGAAGTCCAGCTGGTCGCAAAGGAATGGCATTTCCTTTCTTTTAAGAAAGATATAATTCTCCCCAACTATTATTGTCATTCACATCCCGGTTTACAATTTATATAAATGAAAATAAATTTCCGTTCGTTAGTCTCGCTTAAACTCTAGAACGGCTGAACCGATTTCGTTAATTTTGGTCTTGCAATGTGCGTGGAATCCAGGGAGTTTAAAAGGTGAAAAATCGGTCGGGTAAAAAAGAAACCGAACACTATTTTTTTCTACAAGAATAAGTTGTGTAGAAGTTCAATAAGCTATTAGCATTCAATAGAGTAATTCAACTTATATTTTAATGGGTAACAGTTATATTTTAATGGGGAATTTTTATTGTTTTTATCCGAATTGTGTAGGTATCTAGATTAGTATAAGACATAAATTAAAATTTAATTTAATTAGATAATAAGTAAATATTGGAATAAGTAAGTATTTGTAAGACTGATGGCCACACTATCGTATTGGATTAGTCTGTAATGGTAGTTGTTAGCATTAAATAAATAAATAAACTTAATATTACGGATATAGGTTACCTACCACATATTAGGGCGACACACAGTCATAACACGCCAAACACACCGGGTACAGTTTAATGTACAGCCATTAACAGTTTCATTGGTTTTCCTACTCGATGCGCTATTTGCCTGTTTATTAGCTCGGTCCCTATATAAACTCCATTCGATAAGTTTAAACGCTTCGCTTCTAAAGAGGAACTCGTAAAATTCTAATTTAGCGGTGCATCGAGTTACATATGCGAAGGTTGAGTTATTCAGGGGAATTGTGCAAGGAATTTGTACTTTAAAAGATATATGACACAGACATACGAAAAAACGACAGTTACGTATACTTGTACTCTATGCGGAGAATAAAGAAAAATGTGTTAAGGTAGCTGATGTTACAGTGACACAACTGTTGAATGCCATCCAGTGCTTAGCCCAGTTGTACTGCATTCAGTATAATACATACAAACTCACCAGTTTGTATCATACCAAAAAGCATATAGTAACCTCAATTTGAGCATCTCATTGCATGAAAAAGCTGTAGTAAGAAATTAACAATTACCGTCAACAGTTTTCTTAATATTTTACGCAAATATTTGTCCGTATAATAAAGTATATTGATATTAGTAGTTCCGATTCGTAGTACATCGTAATTGCGTGGGCAGTCTCAGTGCCAATGGTGTGACCTCTGTTGTACCGGTCCCGCGCTATGACAACACGACTAAATTATTTTATTGTTGTTTATATTACGAAAATAAGTTTTATTTGTAGATCTCGGTTGTGTGCAGTACATTTTAGTTGTCAAGGTCTGGTTGTTACAATGTGTTACAAGAATTATTCGGTTTCATTCAATAAATGTAGGTAATGGATCATCCACTGAAAGATATCCACGGCCGAACAAAGGCGTTTCCCATGTAATTCTTACACAAGACTAACGGGTTGCTGCAGTCGATGTATGCCGAGACAGACAGTGTCTCGGTAGCTGTTTTAAACTGGGTTCAAAATACCCAATCGATTTCCATTACCTACTATAAATACGATTACCACAATAAAGTCTTCCTGACGACTAATAAATGTGTTGTTTCGTTCCAGGTTCTGAAGGTCGAGCGGCAAGATGCCGGAGGGAGTGGCGAAAGAGGATGCGAAGGGGAAGGCCAAGGAGGCCTCGCCGCGACGCCGCCCCTCAGGCAACGTCGTCAAGGTCAAGGTGGAACTCCTCGATGGCTCCATCATGGAACTTGACGTCGATGTAAGTTAAGAATTAGCATAATTTGATGCTGGGTATCGTAATCACTCAGTAACTCTAGTAAAATACGGTGTACAATAAAGCAATCGGTCGTATGTTCAGTATGGTGTGGGAACGAACGCGTGGATGTAATGAGTGTACAATATTCATCGGATGTATTGAGGAGTACGTACTATGTAGTGTCTTATTATCCGGAGGTTATACGCCGGGGTCGTGCGGTCCATGGCCCTCTACGGCGCCCCTGTTTGGGCGCCGAACCTGTTGCGGCGTCCCGCTCGGACGCTGCTCATGGCACAGAGGGTCATGGCGATCCGAATGATCCGCGGATACCGCACGATCTCTGGGGAGTCGGCGAACCTCCTTGCCGGATTACCGCCGTGGGATCTGGAGGCGAAGGTGCTCGCGCGCGTGCACAGCATGCGCGCGGAGGCACGTCGCCGGGGCGAAACTCCGCTGCCGCGCCAGATAAGTGCGTGGCGGGATGAGCTCCGGCGCGATCTCATGGCGGAATGGCAGCAACGACTGTCGCAACCGAGGGCTGGGCTCGCTGCCATCGCAGCGGTAAGTCCCCTCTTTGAGGAGTGGCTTGAGAGACGCTACGGCGTCCTCACCTACCGCCTGACGCAGGTCCTCACCGGACATGGCAGTTTCGGGAGGTACCTGTGTCTGATGGGGCGGGAGGAAACGCCCGGGTGTCATCACTGCGAGGACCGCCCTGAGGACACGGTGGAACACACGGTGGGAGAATGCCCTTCGTGGGCTGAGCACCGCCGTGTCCTCAGGGAAGTGATCGGCGATGGCGACCTCTCGCGTCCGGGCCTAGTGCAGGCCATGATGCGGAGCGAGGGGGATTGGGATGCCGTCTCCTCCTTTTGCGAAGCAGTCATGCTAGCTAAGGAGGAGGCGGGACGCGTGAGGCAGCGAAGCGCTGCCTCCTCGCAACCCAGCCATCGCGAAGGACACACCGGGCGTCGGGGATCGCGGGACGATCTCCGGCCACCGTAAGCGCGGGCCTGCGGACGGCGAGCATGGGTGGCTCCCCGTCCGACCAGAAACAGACCCGAGCGTACGGCGCGTCGCGTTCCGCGCGCGCCTCAAAGAGCCATCAGACCACCACAGATGGGGCCCAATAGGGCCGATGCCGATTCGGAGTCGCGGAGAACCTAACGGGTAACCGGGGCTCCGGCTCGACGTGCAGGAGAAGGAACGGGGTGGTTTTTAGTCAGTAAGAGTCTGACACTCCCTCCCGCCTCACCCAGGCGGGGGCAGTCATTCGATGATTTTCCCCCCTTAAAAAAAAAAAAAAAAAAGTGTCTTATTATAAAGTGGTTCGATACGAAATTATATTGTAAGTAATTGAATGTAATTCTTAATCCGTCAGAGTTTTTCCACCCCATTTACTATTCTCTTAAACTGTTTTCGCAGTGACCCAAACTGTCACTACCATATTTAAGGGCCTCATGAATATTTGTACCGATACTTTAATGTAAATGTCCTGTTTCAGAGAAAGATCAGAGGTCAGGAGTTGCTGGGCAAGGTGTGCGACAAACTGAACCTCGTGGAGAAAGATTACTTCGGGCTGCTGTACGAGGACCGCGGGGACCCGCGCGTCTGGGTCGACCTCGAGAAGAGGCTCTCCAAGATGCTCAAATGTGAGTACCTACTGAGTACTGACAGATTTCCATTTTATTGTCTCTGGCTTAATAAACCAATCTGTTTGCTTAAATTTTACGGTTTGAAAACTTTGCTTCAATAATAACT